GTCACCGTCCCGCGCGGGACCCCCGCCCGGCGCGGAGTGGCCGCGCCCGCCGCACTCACCGTCCCGTCCCGTCCCGTCCCGTCCCGTCGCAGCTGCCGGCGCGGGCGCGTCCGCCCCATTTTATACCGGCCGGGGCGGGGCCTCCCCGCGCGCTCGCCCGGGATTTCCCTCCCGCCCCACCCGGCCCGGCCCCGGGACACCTCCCCCCCCCGCCGCCGCAGGGACCCGCTCGGTGCCAGCGGGGGCGCAGGGACCCCCTAGGCTGGGGGTGCAAAGACCCCCGCGCGGGAGGAGGCCGAGATCCCCCATTAGGGACATGGGGACCCCCCTTTAGGTGTCCCCCTCCCCCGGGGGTGCAGGTACCCGTTCTACCCCCTGCCCCTCTTCCCCTGCCCCGATCCAGAGCTTCTCCTCTGTAAAGGACCTCAAACCTTTACCCAGAACGGGGGGGCACCCACATTCCTCCCCCAGGAACCCCCTCTCTTTCCCCGGCAGGGAGTCTCCCAGCCCCTGGGTCACGGTGACAGCGCAGAGGGTTTCGGTGTGGCCGGGGGTGGCTGAAGTGCCCCAAGGGGCAGCTCTCTCTGACCCTCCCCGAGCTGTCCGGCTCGGAGCCCGGGGATGCTCCGCGCTTGCTCCCAGATCCGCCGCGTCCGGGAGCGGGGAGGGCGCTGCCTGCTGCGACACCCCCAGCTGCAGAGCGTCGTCATCCTCCCCGGCGGGACCAGCAGCTTCGACACCCGCCTGGACAAGTCGAGAATGTGTCCGGGCATGTCCGGCCTGTGCTGGATGCTGCCTACGTTTGCTCAAGACGTGCCCGGCGCCACAGCTGGAACGCAAATCCAGCAGCAGCAGCGCAGTTCCTCCCCTCCCATCTGCAGCATCTCTGTCTCCGGCCGCTCCAGGATGGCAAGAGAAGGAGCAATCACCTAACCCCCTCAAATGAGCCCTTTTCTTTCTGTTTGTTCTTTTTTCCCCTTTCTTTCCTTTTGTTGTTTTTTTCCCCAAGAGAAAGCACTGAGGTGAAGCAAAAGGGAGTGAGAAGGTCAAAAGCAGCAGCTTTTCCCCAGGCACCTGAGAGCAGCCAGGAATGAGAGAAGGAGTGAACGGGGCCGTATGGAAAAGCCAAGGGCAGGGAGAGCCGGCGCAATCCCCGGCTCCATGGGATGTGCCCCAGCAGAGGCAGAGCCGGCGCTTCCCGGCACTGTGGCAGCAGCTTCTCCGAAATGGGAAGCGGCTCCGCRTCAGGGAGGCCGCACCGGGCGCAGCCGCGACAGGAGGGCACAAGCGGGTGATTTAATGCCGAAAGCGGGTTGGGAAATGGGGAAAGCCGGGGGTGACTCACGGTGTCGAGGGGGAGCGGTGCCGAGCGGCGCTTCCTCCTGCTCCCTGGCCTCGTCCCACCAGGGTATCCCCAAGCCCAGGCCGTGGGGCGAGGGAGACGCTCGGCCACGTACACAGAGCTGTTAATCACGGCGGCGGCGGCGGGTGAGTCAGCACTGCGCCGGGAAACGTGTCCGGACACATCCGTACGGATGCATCCATCCTACCGATACCRAGCGGATCCCACACGGCAGAGCCCACACCTGACGGAGGCAGGTTCAGGCCTCGGTGCCGTGAGGACACAGCAAAGCAAGGATGCGGTAAAGGGGATTTTCCTGTTATTCCACTTGATTCACTGGAGGAAGCAGGAGYGGTTCAGCCTCCAGGTTTTTCAGGACAGAGGCAGCAAAAGCAGCCCTGGGATGATCGGATTGCACTGAAAGCTTTYGCAACAGGGAGCGAGCCCAGCTCATCCTACACAGGTTGGACAAGAAGCTCTGCTGGGGATGAAGCTATCGACATCCAGGCGGCAGAAACCTCTTCAGCAACACTAAAATCTCGATGATTATTTTTTTATTCTCTCTCCTAACGAGCTTTTTTTCCCCCCTTTTGGGCAGGGACAGCAAAGGCTCCCAGCGCAGCGCACTCCAGCAAAGGCTAAATGGGTGCAGTGTTCGGCCGAGCACTCGCAGCCCAGCGAGGGCCCTTTTCCCAGCAGCTCTTTGAAGTGCCCAATTAAGTGATTTTATCCTAATAGGATTTTCCCAGGAAAGAAAGGCGAGCCTGACAAAACGTGGAATGCTTCATTAACTCTGCCCCTAAAAGCACTCGGATCGCGTTAATCAGCCGCTTCCCGGCCCTCGTCCGCTCCAGTTATGCAGGTATTTTGATGAGCACCCAGTGCAGTGAGATCCCGCCAGTCACAGACGGGCTCTCAGCTTCCTGGAAAGCATCCCGGATGCGGGAGCGATGAATCGCTCGCTTCATTCAGCCCCTTGCTCCTTCGTGCTCAGTGTYGGGGCCCGGTTTTGTCTATTTTTTTTAAGGCCTGTTCCCAGTCATTAACGTAATTGCTCCGCTGACTTTCCTGGAGCCATCCGGGCGCGTTTTCTTTTCTCCCTCTTTTCTGGCTGGCAGCAAAGAGCCTCATTGTTCACGGTGGCGGTGGGGCTGCCAGAACGGGGCGCCCCGTTGCCCGCTTTGCGCTTTGCTGCTTCCCCCTGTCCACCCAATTCCCGCCCCACGATCCCGAGTCGCTGCCGGGCCGGAGCCGGGGGCTGCGGGAAGGTGCTGCTGGCTGGAATGCGTCAGGGCGCTCTATGCGCTCACTGGAAATCCTCCAGGAAGCAGCACCAGCCCTTGGGAGCTGAGCAGAAGGATGTGACTGATGGCCCCTACACCACACACGGACATCGCTGGTGAAGGATCCACCGTGATCCATCCCCAGCCATGGAGCTTTTGTCACTCCAACGTGGGCATTCCCAAGTGCCAGCATTAACCCTTTTCCTTTTCCTTTTCCTTCTCCTCCTTCACTAGTTCCTCTGCCTTGTCCATGAGTGTCAACATTGCGCCATGGAGATGGAAGTCCCGGCATCCTGGCAAACCCAGGATTCATAGGAGATCAAAGGCAGAAGACCAACGGCAACATGTTCCAAGGAAAGCGAGGAGGGAGGTCATCCCCGACCGCAGAGGATACAGACACACGGCTACATCCCTGCTGCGGAGGAGGGCAAGCCCTGCCTGGTCTCTGAATGCCATGCTGGGAAGTGCGTGGCCCAGGTGTAACCCCACGTTGACGAGCAGCACATACCGAGCACRGGCAGCCTGGCAGGACGTGCTGCACCCGAGCCCTATCACCCCAGCTGGGCAACCTCCTCCCCAAAAGCTTATAGTGGCAGCGCATAAAAATCCCATCAATCCATCAGCCGCTGGCACCAGGAAACGTTGCGCGGAGCCCGGCGGGGAGAGCCGCGTCGGTGACGGGTGGCGTTTCACTGGGACAGCGAATGAAGCGGCTCTGGGTGAGCGCGACGTGGGCAGCGCCATCCACACGCGGATGCTCCCTCTGCACGCTGCCRAGATAAAGCTCCCTGCTCACAGCTGGCAGCCGCGATCCGCCAGGCGCCYGACAAGTGACACCCAGGGTGACACGGGGCGCCACCCTGATACGGCCGCTCCACCCCGATACGGGCAGTGCTGGCAGCTCGCGCYGCGCGCCCGCCGGGCCCTTCGCCCCCGCGGCGCCGCCGGGCTCCTCGGCTGCCGGTGTCCTTCGCAAAGTGCCACCCACCAGCAGTGTCTCCACCAAGGACGGTGTATAACCGCAGCCAGGAGCGTGCCACGGAGCAGATTAATGTGGAAATCTGTGGAAAAATCACCCACAGTTGGAGGGCCCAAGCACCGCGACAGCCAGCGTGAGCGCTTCTCCAACCAGCAGCCCTGTCAGCTGCTAAATTAATGAGAGACAACTGAACCACGTGGGAACAGCGTGCTCCCCCTGCACAGCCCTCGGCGTCGGATTTCTAACACATCTTAGAAACAGTCATGTTAGAAACACGTTAGAAACAGTCCAGAACAGGGGTTGGCTGGAACAGGGAATTCACGATCACAGCAAGTGCCTAAGCAGCCCAGGAGGGCAGCCTAGTGAAAACTTTGGAAATTCAACAGAAAACAGGGCAATTATTTGTGTTTCTAGGAAGCTGGGATGTGTCTTAGCCAGCTGGGGGCACTGGGCTGCTACTTTTAAAGGATCTGCTTTACTGAGTGATTTTAATAGTTTTCAAGGAAAAATAGCAATTTAAGGGAAAGATTACTTTTTTTTTTTTTTGGCTTTACTTTCTGCCCACCAGCACAGCCAAGTAAGCACCCAATCCATTAAGGTCAACAACACCACTTCCTCCTGAACTTTAATTTTGAGCAAGAAAGCTATAGAGATCAGAAATCTGAAGCTGAGGAGTATCCCCAGTTCTGCACCCACCTTTGCACACAAACATCCTGCCCTTCTCTCGTGCGAGGCACTTCAGGTTTCTCTCCTTTTCCGGGCTAGTTTGAGCTCTGGGAAGGTGGCTGCTCCTGTTATGCTGAGCTGAACAACCAGACACAGCACCAGCAGGAGATGCTCTCGCGGGCAACAGGCTGCAATCYGTCCGCAATCAACCCAGGGTGGAACATTAAAATTAGGGAGTGTAGCTGTGGGTGGCACACAGCRTCATCGCAGCCTTGGCCGTCTTGTCATCGGGTTCAAACGTCCCTAGAGGAGCTGTGCATGTTTTGAGAGCTGCGTGCACCTTGCGGAGCAGCCCAACCTGTGCTGGGTAGCACGGAGGGTGCACAGCCACTGCCACACGCTCCCACCGCCGCTTTGCTGGTCTTGCACCCTTCATTTAATGCAGGAGCGTCTTCCCGTGAAGCTGCTGCATTCGGCTTCTCCTCTGCCCCTGGAAYGAATTCAACTACTGCACTGCTCCCAGGATTAGGGATTCAACCTAAACACAGCCCATCAAAGCTGTGCTGTAGCAAGGGGTAAAGGAGCTGCTAGGCAGTTAGGGAGCTCTAATCACATTTAACCATGCCMCAATTTTGCACAGGCGGTTGAATCTTCATACAAAACTTCACAGACTTGAACATAACTAACTCCTACCCAAGAAGGAAAGAGGCAGGCAAGCCTTCCAATTTCTKGTTCACGCTATAGTAAAGCCCTTGCTGCAGCTCCTGAGCAGACAAGAATTCAGGCCTGCATCTCCTAACCTCATT